ACCAATACCAACGGCTAATTTTCAGGCGGTCACCCCAAAATGTCTTGGTGGTCCACCGGTCGATCGCGATCGACGTAATGCTCACCCAGGAGATATATTAACGTTCCAGTATAAATCAACACGAGGTATATTATCAACAGACCGCATAATTTTGAAACTCGGTCAAGTGAGGAGGTCATTGTAACTCAATAGATTTAACGTGCATCGTTCCCTCTGCATGGTGAATCTTCAGTGGAATCAAGATTCTAACTCGCGACACTTTGGGTACCAGTTCGTGACCATAATCACTAGGCTGCCGCGGCGACCTAAAAACTTATAGAATTCAAGCAAAAAATATCGATTTTTATCGCAACTAATGGTAGACCAACTCATTATTATTGAGTGTCTTACATTTGTGGATCACTCCAGGAATATATGATTGAGTGTTGTTAAACTTAGCTTCATATGTATCGTAATTAAGTAATACTGATCAAAAATGTGTTAGTGCTCAGTTAAAATGTTCCATAACTTATGAATTTAAAAGAAATGTATATGGTTATAAGTTGATATATTTTTGAAGTTTTTATACGGAATATACAAATCTAGGACAATTCCATTTATTTCAGCTAGGTTAAGTATGAGTGAGTTTACGCTAGGCAACAAGGATTCATAGTCTTTTGGAATCAAAATAGTATTAAATTCTAATTGGTTGAAAAAAGGAAGAATAAAATTCTAGAAAACACTCAATTCCAGCACCGCTGTATCATGTTGATTTCGGTTTATGTGTGGTACATTCAAAATATTTTAGATATTACGTCGTAATTTTTCCCGTAAAGGATTAGTCAGAAGCATTTTTCAAAGTAAATTATCTTAGCTTTACACTGATAAAATACTTAAATAGGCTGTACCTTTGCACAAACAACAAGCAACAAAACAAAAAATAAGAAAATACTTCTAATAATCATTGTATTTAAGCTTAAAGTATACTTATTAGCTCTCAATCAGCTGTCAAAATAAGAGATTTCGAGTATATATATGTTTCCCACAATCATTAAATGTATCCCATTTTTTTTTAAAATATCAAGTTTGTAAACATATTTAAGTCCCTTCAAAGTGAAAATTAATGTATGTGCAACCCATGGTTATACATGTTCGATTTTAATACATTTTCACAAAACTAAGGCATCGTATCTTAACCTTTTGTTTTCTGCTTGAAACATTTTTTTACAACTTTTTATCCTAGTCATAAGTGACGTAAGGAAAATTAAAGAGGAAGTATTTTTCACAAAACTAGAGATAATCCGATATTCTTCATTATTTTTAGTACCATGAAATTTTCCTATCAGATGAGGAATGAATTGAAAAACAAGTTCTGAGAAAGAAATAAAAAAATAAAAAAGTTTGCCTTGTATAAAATTATAATATCATGCGAAAGTCACGCGAGTATGACTTCAAAAAATTCTAAAGTTTCAAAAATAAGAGCGATGTGGTACGTATCTGATTGGCTTAGGAAAAATTAAATCATATTTGTGGACTGTAATTCAAATTCATAAAATTTATCATTATCGCAAGTTGTTATTCTGGAGTACAATGTACTTGTTCTTTTATCTTCCAAAATAAGAATTTTTATTACTCATCCAATAAAACTGAAAAAAAATCGGTATAGAAAACAAGAATTTTGAAAATTGTTCCTGAGTAATATAAGAAAGCAGAAAAGGAAGCCGGAAGATTTTTTTGTCATTATATCCATATTTAGATTGCTTCTTCTCACAATTAATCTGAGGTAAGTTTATGTGTGTATACTAAAATAATTCTTAAAATTCCTATTATTTTATTGTATTTTGTAAATGCAAAATTATGAGATTTTATAGATATAAAACAGACATAAGGAGTAAAGATAAGAAACAACTTTTGAAAATTACTATGCAATTCACTTAAACAAAAATTTTTTAATATATTTATTGAAATTTGTCTTAAATTTTGTATGGAATGTTAAATTCTTTTAAAATAATATAAATATGAACTGAAAAAACATGTTATTTAATAAAATATGTTTTTCTAATTTCCTATCTATTGTATAACTTTTCTTTCTCAAATAAATACGATTTTTTTTTTAATTGCGCGTTCTTAATTCTGTAACTACAATGAAAATCGTTTAACATAAAACTAAAGGGACTGAAATATTTTTTTAGTTTCAAAAGAAATCCTTGTTAAAGGGTATTGCAAAAAAACATATATTCATCAAAATTAAGTTTATAAGAGTACATTTTAGTTTATTAGATAATTAAATGCAAGCATTTTATAAAAATCAAAGAATCAAAACCTTTCACAAGAACCTAATGAAGTTTAATACAAAATTTTCTTGAACAACGAAACATTTATTGAGTTTTTTTAAAATAGTTTGACAATTTCTTTTACATTGTCTTTTTTAGAATAAACAAATTGACAGTTGATTTCTCCCGAAGACTTTGTCATTGTGCTCGTAAAAAAATCTTCTAAAATAGCAAAGGAAACCCTTGAGCTAAACTCACTAATTTTTGATCCCGCTGCGATATACTTCTCAACGAATTCCAAAGCCAACTGATGAGATATGAAATATTTTTGTGTGGTGTTTGTAGGGTTAGAGAGTTAAAGTAGCTTAAATAAACAAACCTTGCCTCTATTACAAGTTATTCCGAGGGTATATCAAAGCAAAGTTAGCCTTCTTTCTACGAAACGTGTAAAACCACCTTCAATTAATTGTATAGCCCTCTTAAATATTGCCTGTGTAGCTGGTGTTTTCTGTATTCGGTTCATTCTCAGAAGGGAAATATTTTGGGTTAAGTGATAATTTTTTTTGTGTTAAGAAAAAACAAATTAATAAAGACACACAATAATTTGTCGGGAGAGTTTTATTATTTCGTGTGTTAGCCGATATTTCACCTTAATGTATCCGACTACGTCCTGAACCATGATTTTGCAAAAGCATACAAACGAATATTTTTTTTTGAATATTTAATGTCACTTAGATTAGAATACATGTATAAAATTTGTTTAATAATATATTACAATAAAAATATTATTTAAATGCAATATTTTCCCAAAAATAAAATTAGAATTACCTCTCTTCAAAATATACTCTTTTTATGAAAATGCTTCTATAACAATATTATTTTTCTTCTACCTAGCTAAGGCTTCTCCAGAGGTCCTGAACTACGACTTATGAAGAATTCACACATTAGTTTCATAGTTACTACCAAATGAAATAATTATGAGTGTTTTTCTGTTAAAATTATCCACTCTGAAGTATAGATAAATCCACTTCAAAGTTATGTATTTCAAAAATCCTAGTTCGGGCTTAGTATAGAGGTCTGAGATCTGTATAGGCAAAATATTGTTATTTCACATGCATCATCATTAAAAGAAAAATATTTAAAAAATAAACAGTTATACGTTCTCATTTTTTGTCAAAATACTGCATTTAAATCATTTTAATTGTAATAATATTCGTGAAAAAATTTCATACGTGTATAATAATCAAAGTGACTCTAAATATTAAAAAAAATTATTATCATGTATGCATTTAAAAAACATGGTTCCGACCGTAATCGGAAACCTTAAGCGATTTTCAGTGTATGTAACCTTTTTGAAAATATATAGTTAATTCTTCTATATTGATATATATATATATATATATATATATATATATATAACTCATTAACATTAAATAAAGAAATATTAATTAAAGTATTTATTATCCATGAAATTCTAAACGAAATTAATTTGAGGATGTTTGTATATATATATATGTTGTTTCTCTTATCAGAGAATTAGTTTTCGTAGACACTAATTAACAAAACATTGAATTTTTGAATTTTATTTTACACTTATCAAAATAACTAAAACATAATGTGCTTTAAGGAAACACTAAAATAATACAAATATTTGAATGATGAAGTATTTTGTGCAGAAATTCTGTCTCTGTCATTGAGCTTACAATGCAATAATACTCGTAATACAGTTTTAAAATACAATCCTCAAATATTTTTAGAATATCTGATTACCAAAAATAGTTTTGCATAGTTAGCAAAATATATCTATACAATTGTACAAAACTTTTCAAATTGAAAACATAATTCAATGGTTAACATTGTTAAATAACTTTAATTTGATGTTTTTATAGTTAAATGGGTATCATGCCAAAGAATACTTTAACACAGAAACAATTTAGCTAAAAGCTGCACTAGGTGTAGGCCTAACATTTTATAAAATTAAGTTTAATTATTTTGAGGAACATAATGAAACTATGATTTTTTCCTTGTTTCATTTACTGTTAATGATCTTAAGATTCAAAACAAACTCAACAAATGAAAAGCCTAATGAAAAAGTATAAAACCTTCATTCCGGTTATAATTTTTTTTTACTTGAGATTCTTTGTTGTTGCATTATTTTGATTGCATTAAATTATATTTATCTTCTTCAAATCTAACATAAATTAGCTATTTCTTACAAATAAAAATGATGCATGTGAATATTTCTGTAAATAAATCAGATAATTGTAATACATTATTCAGTACTAAACTGAAACAACGAAGTAATACAATTATGTTTGACTTTTTAATAGTGACACCAAATGTTTCAAAAATAACGTCTATTTCTCTCTTCACCCTTTTTAAAGACTATTTGTTTCTCTATCTTCTCTTAGGTTTTCCTCAACTTTTCTTCATATCATATTTCTTTATTATCAAGTATTTCAATTTTTCAATTCCTACCCCATTAGTTCCCACTCTTCCTATATATATATATATATATATATATATATATATATATATATATATATATATATATATATATATATATATATATATATATATATATATAATTCAAATTTTTAATAAAATCCTTTTTATTCATCCACTCCAGTTCAAATACATTTTTCCAAATATTAATTCATTAATTAAATTAAATTAAATTAATGAATAAATAAATAGTGATAAGAATCATAGTACAACAACATACAAAAGAGAAAAATAGCTCGTTGCGTTCCTGTAGCTCAATTGATAGGGCTTTGGACTTCTAATCCAAAGGTCATGGGTTCGAACCCCACCTGGGATGACCTAATTTCGGTGAATGCGAATTTTTTTATTATACTATTTTATTGCAATAATTAAATTTATTGAATGAATAAATAGTAACTAACATAAATATAGTCCAACACCATATATAGAAAGAAAAATGGAAATTTTATTTTGCCACAAATTATTGTGATTCTGTTTTATATAATACATATTTATATTAATTATAATTATTTAACAAAAAGTATATAAAATAAATTTTTTCTGTGTTGACCTAAGCAGGGATTGACTTAAATGTTTAATTGTTTATATTACTTGTTTATATAATACCTCTAATTAACATTGACTAATTTTTGTATCCTACTCATTAGAACTTTTCAGTTATTTATGATGTGAATAATGTTTTTTTATTAATGCAAAATTTCCTTCAAATTTTGGATTTCACCACGTGGATAGATTTTCATACGTGGTACAATGTTATAGATAAGATAGGAATGCAAAATCCAAAGGATTTGAATAATTTCCTATTGATAAATGTATTTGTGATTATTAGTTTTAAAATATTTAAAATTGATTAACACAAACATAATTTAGAACATTGAGCTTGATAATGATTTTTGTGAAATTTAAGTTAATGACTAAAATTAAATAACATTGCTTAAAAATTTCAAGATTTTCCGAGATTGAGTGAATCCTTTGATTTCTACTTCTAAATTAATTTCTAATGAATAGATAGAATAGAAGTTTTGTGTAGTTTTGCGTAGATGGAACAGAACACATAATTAGAAAATAATAGAATAAATTATTAAAAAAGGTTATTCTATTTTTAACACATATATTTAATCATTCAATATAGAAATTCAGATAATTAAAAAAATATTTTTAAAAAAATCAAAATTTATTAATATTTTCTTCAAAATCAAAGCACTCACAGGAATTATTGAATTAATTATAATAGGTATAATATTTTATCTATATTCGAAATTTCCAGCAAAATTAACAAGAATCATCTTTTCAACAAATTTAAGTTAATCTTAAGTATGAAAAAGTATCAGTATTACTATTAATAATGGACCCTTACGTGGCGATAAAGATCAAAATTTTTAGCTGTATGAATCATATAAAGAATCTGACATCGCGTTAACTTCATCAAAATTTAACGAATTAAATGAGCAGGTTATGTTGTTAGAATTGACGAAGACCGCACCACTAAATATATCTTCATTGCCTAACCAATTGGCTCTAGGTCTGGAAAAGGCTTCTTGAGAAGGTCGAGGCCCATCCTGGACTGTCGAGCCACTAAGGAAGGTAGAAACGGACTATTATTGCAAAATTCTGAAAGTAAACTCTTATTAGTATATCCAAAGTAAAGACTTCTTTAATTTTTTTTTTATTTCTGTATGCAAATTATCGTAATCTACAATTTTTATAAAATATATGTAGCCAGTGCCTGAGTGGTAGTGTATCGCACTTCCACGTCACAGATCCGGGGTTTAAATCCTAGGCTGCGCAAGGTCACCTCCCCTTTTCATCCCTTCAAAGAATCGATTAATGAATGCCAAGTCTGCTTGGGAATTTAACACTGGGGAGGTTTCGCGTCAGACAGGCTACTTGACCGAAACATCTGCACATACACCTCAGCACCTAAGGTCACATAAACTAAGATAGGCCCTCGGGTGCTCCTGCGCCACTGAGTTCTGTCTACTTACTTATATAGATAAAAGTAGATGCAGCATTTTTTTTCAAATATACACTTCCCAATTTCTCCCCCCTCCCCAAAAAATCCTTCTATAAACCGTCCAATAAATAATCCTTTGTTCGAATTATTTCTGAGATTTTTTTTTTGTCAATCTGCCCTAAGAAACTTTCTTTGATCTTTGCGTAAATTCTAAGACGTAATAAGTTTTTCACGTAAGATTAAAAGAGTGTTTATTTTTAATTATATCTGAAGTTCTTTTTTTAGTAATTAAATATAAGGCTCTTCCGATTATGTATTATGTTCCATCTATGCAAAGCTATCTCAAATTATAATCCTACCCATTGTTCAAAAATTAATTTAGGAGCAAAAATTAAAGTGCTAACTCAATTTCGCAAACTGTTTTTCCTTTAAATTAATTTTAGACCATATTTTCATTAGTACCTTCATATCGTTGTTATTTATGTTTAGTTATATACTTCAATTGCATTAAAAATATCATCGAGGTCAATACTTTCATTTGTTTTTATGTTAATTAATTTAAATAATTAAATATTATTTGTTGAAAAAAGCTATTAATCAAATAAATTTATCAATTTGAAATTATTCCATTCTTTTGGATTTTATAACGCTACCTTAGAAATAACATTGCTGTATCATGTTAGATTATACATGTAGGCAAGAGCCACCTAGTACTAGAACTAAAGATTCAGATACGATATACTGGGAAACGAGTATACTGAATTGCAACAATTGTAGATTCATTACAAAAATCTGCAAAGTCATGCTAAAGTCACAAATATTTTCTTTAATTAAAATCTACTCGGCTGCTATTTTTTTATTTACTTCAAATTGTTTTGAAATCTTTTTTTCAAATGCGTAGTTACATTTTCTTTCGTAAAATTTTACAGATTTCTAAGCATTTGTCATTCTACAACTTACTTAAAATTGTTTCCGTCTAAAAAGTCTGATTTTTGGATTTTTTTTTTGAAAAAAAACTACTGATAAGTTTGCCACACTGTTTATTTTGTATTCAAAACGGCAACTTTGAATTCATTTACTTTTTCTGTATTTTCATTTAAATTACCAATGTTTCTTTCTTCGGAACTTAATAATTTTTTATAAATCATAAATTAACCGCCTATTTACACATACATTGAAGTATTTAAAAAGATATTTTGAAGGATATGAGAGATTATTTATCCAAAAATAGTCCTTTAGTTCTCAAAAACAAAGATAGGATTATTTAGATTTATTTCTTTGAAATATATGTTTAACATCACTTTTCAACGGAAATTCTAAGTAAACTGAATTTAAAATATCAAAAGTGCGAGAAGTTATCTTTCTTTCAAATAAAAACCATATAACATAAATATTTGCGTTCATGTTAAGAGCGTAATAAGCAAATACACCTTTTTACATTGAAGATCTTATATCTTAATATATTTTGTTTCGATATAAAGTTTTCAATCAAACATTTAAAGCCTTCTCTAATTCTAAAATGAAATGTTTATTTTATCTGAATAAAAAAATTTGTTTTCAATTAAAATACTTTAATTTTTCTTTATAATATATTTTGCTTGAATCCAATGGTATAAGCTGACTTTTTTTCTAAATTGTTTAACCAGAATTTTTATCTGATAGTTTTATCTAATAAAATTAGAAACAAGAAATTATACATGATATTAAATATTTTGAATAAGAGATTTAAATTAATAAAATGGCTTTAAACGATATGTTAACAGTTAAATAGTGAAAACAAAACCCCATTTTTGTTAGTGTTAGTTCTAGTGTATTATTAAATCAAAACAATCGAGTGTTAAGGAAAAAGTTAAGACAAATTATTGTATTCAAAAATTTTAATTCCTTATTACCTTGAGTAATTAAGGAAAATCATATGTTCTTTCTTTAAACAAAATGCAAATAATGCGGATTTTTCTTAAATTGAAAATACATCAAGTGAGCGACGTGTTTTAAGAGATAAAATGTTTAATGAAATAAGATTAATGTGACACTATAAATATCTTATTGAAATTATACTTGAGATTATAAAAATTATAAAATGCAATGTGTGTGTGTGTTCCTAGCTCTACTTTTTTCACTTTATGAACAAGTTATAATGCACTCTTGTGATTCAATTTTTCCGAGAGATTCAGATTTTTATTTATCAATTTTTTTAAACCTGAAAAAAATATAATTGAATTGCATTTTCTAGAATAGAAACTCTAAACAGAATATCGATCATAATTGATAGAAGAAACTCATGTTGTAAATCTTGTCAACTATTCCTTGAGAGAAACATTCACTATCTACCAGTACCACTTAAATGGACTAAGTATATATAATATAAAAAAAATTCAATATATAATTATATACATATACATACACATATATATAAATTTATACATATATATGTAATAATTCCCTCTAGCATTCTCTTTAATTAACTTTTTTAAAACAATATTGAAATCTTTTGATTATTTGGTTCAGGACTAACACTCCGATTTTAATCGTAATCGATGAATATTATTACATCAGAAATTCCTGTCCCGCACTTTCTATCCAATCAGAGCTATGATTGCGTAATCATCACACACTTGCACTGTTGGTGAGGAATAAAAACAACTTGTGTAATGGCGTTCTCGTCGCTTGATCTTCCTTTTTTGCCGTCATAATGTACTAGTAAATATAGCTGTTTCTCCGTGTTTATGTGTTGTGTCCGTCAAGATGTCACTTTTGCTTGTCCACTGTGCTTAATATCATCATTATGAATTGTTTGTCTCGTCTTTGTGAAATTGCATTATAATTTTGTGCTAAACTTCGATGCGTGCGCCACAATAAAGAAGATGTCTGTTCACTGAAGATGTGCATTTTGATGAAGACCTGCCAACACCACGACAAAAATCAACCACTCGGCCAATACTTAACATATATACATATACACAAATAAATAAACGAAAATATAAAAATAAACATATAGTTATATACCTAAGATAACTAAAATTAGGAAGAAGGCACAGTAGTATAATGACAAACTTCTGGCCTTAGGAACCAGGATTGCAGGTTTAAACAAGTTTTGCGGCCAGCCAACCTTCACCTGTAATTTGTCATACTATGTACCAAGAGGAAAGGAAAGAATTATATATGTAGAATTTAAATATAAAAAAAATTATAATATATATAAACATATGTATATTGATCAAATATTAATTCGTTAATTAAATTTTACCTTTTAATTTTAAATTTATTCTGCTTTCTCTCTGACAAAGTTAAAACTAGCTGCTACAGATAGTGCCACCAAAGTAGAAATTGACTGAATTTTATATATATATATATATGCATAT